AATGGAAACTAGGACAACTAACAAAGGATGAATATAGGCAAGCAACACGGGAATGCAGGGGCAAGATTAGAAAGGCAAAGGCACAAAATGAGATCAAACTAGCTACAGGCATAAAGGGAAACAAGAAGACCTTTTATAAATACATTAAAAGCAAGAGGAAGACCAAGGACAGGGTAGGCCCACTGCTTAGTGAGGAGGGAGAAGCAGTAACAGGGAACTTGGAAATGGCGGAGATGCTCAATGACTTCTTTGTTTCGGTCTTCACCGAGAAGTCTGGAGGTGTGCCTAACGTAGTGAATACAAGCAGAGAGAGGGTAAGTTTAGAAGATAGGATACACAAAGAACAAGTTAAAAATCACTTAGGAAAGTTAGATGTCAGCAAGTCACCAGGTCCTGATGAAATGCATCCCAGGATACTCAAGGAGCTGATAGAGGAGGTATCTGAGCCTTTAGCTATGATCTTTGAAAAATCATGGCAGACAGGGGAGATTCCAGAAGACTGGAAAAGGGCAAATATTGTGCCCATCTATAAAAAGGGGAATAAGAACAACCCAGGAAATTATAGACCGGTCAGTTTAACGTCTGTCCCAGGGAAGATAATGGAGCAGGTAATTAAGGAAATCATATGCAAACACTTGGAAGGTAATAAAGTGATAGGGAATAGCCAGCATGGGTTTGTGAAGAACAAGTCATGCCAAACTAATCTGATAGCTTTCTTTGATAAGATAACGAGCCTTGTGGATAAGGGAGAAGCGGTGGATGTCATATACCTAGACTTTAGTAAGGCATTTGATACGGTCTCGCATGATATTCTTATTGATAAACTAGGCAAATATAACTTAGATAGGGCCACGATAAGGTGGGTGCATAATTGGCTGGATAACCGTAGTCAGAGAGTTGTTGTTAACGGTTCTAAATCCTGCTGGAAAGGGATAACAAGTGGAGTTCCTCAAGGGTCTGTTTTGGGACCCGTACTGTTCAATATCTTCATCAATGATGTAGATATTGGGATAGAGAGTACTCTTATTAAGTTTGCAGATGATACCAAACTGGGTGGGGTTGCAACTTCTTTGGAGGATAGGGACATAATTCAAAATGACCTTAGCAAGTTAGAGAAATGGTCGGAGGTAAACAGGATGAGGTTTAATAAGGAGAAATGCAGAGTGCTCCACTTAGGAAGGAACAATCAGTTCCATACATACAAGATGGGAAGCGACTGTCTAGGAAGGAGCATGGCGGAAAGGGATCTAGGGGTCATAGTGGACCACAAGTTGAATATGAGTCAACAGTGTGATGCTGTTGCCAAAAAAGCAAATATGATTCTAGGTTGTATTAACAGGTGTGTTGTAAGCAAAACTCGTGAAGTCATTCTGCCGCTCTATTCTGCACTAGTTAGGCCTCAGCTGGAGTACTGTGTCCAGTTCTGGGCGCCACATTTCAAGAAAGATGTGGAGAAATTGGAAAGGGTACAGAGAAGAGTGACAAGAATGATTAAAGGTCTAGAGAAGCCTATGAAGCCAGGCTTCATGAACTGGGCTTGTTTAGTTTGGAAAAAAGAAGATTAAGGGGGGACATGATAGTGGTTTTCAAATATCTAAAAGGGTGTCACAAGGAGGAAGGTGAAAATTTGTTCCTCTTGGTTTCTGAGGACAGGACATGGAGTAATGGGCTTAAAGTGCAGCAGGGGAGGTTTAGATTGGACATTAGGAAAAAATTCCTAACTGTCAGGGTGGTCAAATATTGGAATAAATTGCCAAGGGAGGTGGTGGAATCTCCCTCTCTGGAGATATTTAAGAACAGGTTAGATAGACATCTGTCAGGGATGGTGTAGACGGAGCTTGGTCCTGCCTTGAGGGCGGGGGACTGGACTCGATGACCTCTCGAGGTCCCTTCCAGTCCTATTATTCTATGATTCTATGATTTTTCCAAAGGAGGTGAGAGATGTTCCTAGTGGGCGGAGAGCTCTCCCTGCAGCTGCCTGGGCTGTCCCCTCTCCGTGGGCACGCCCCGGGCTGCCAATCCAGCACTTTTGCTGGTGCTAAATTCACATCCAGTAATGAACCTGGAAGTCCAATTAGTCTGCAGCATCCCCCCATGTGGCTTCCCAGGGCAGCTGTACACAGACCCCCCATTCCCACTGCAGCCGCCCATCCCTCCTCTCAGAACACTGACTGCACCAGAGATGTATTCCGTTCCTATGACAACCCAAACAATATTACCTTGACTTAAATGGATTCAGGCGATATTAAAACCGGCCTCTTTAGGAATTCCTAGTGTTGGAGGGGCTGAGAATTTTAATTTTGTGTAATGCGAGCTGACACCGTGTTTATGAGCTGCTTGCTGAATGTTTTCTTCAATTAGTACAAAGCAGAGCAGATTTGTTTTCGGGGCTTAGCTTGGGAAAGGGAGGGTGTGGGGCTCCCAATGCCTATGTGAGATTGAGTTCTGTTACAACAGCTGTGCATCCCTCAGCCGATCGCAGCTGGGAAGGCCTTCCCGTGAAATCCAGGTGAGGTGGCCAGCTCTGACATCTGTCTCCAGGTACCTTTGCTCCACCTAGTAGGTCTCACCCTTTCCCCTGGCGTTCATGTTTCAAACCATTGCATGCATACAAACACACCTGTACATTTGCACTCTCAGGTAGTCCCCTGATCTTGTGCATATCTCTACCTTACCCTGTCCTGTGCAGGATCACGCCCAAAGCAAGTTTTAAGTTGGGAATTTTCCCTTTTCTCTACCCCTCCAAAGCAATACTGAACAATCAGCCTGCGGAACTCCTTGCCACGATATATCATTGAGGTCAAAGGCATGGAAGGAATCAGGACTAGAAACAGCTTTGATATTTCTCTGGATAATGAGAATTTCCATAGCTGTCATAATCAGAATCCCTAACTTCAGGGGGGAGAGCTAGACCCTGCAGACTGGCTTGTATTCCTAATAATTCTGTAGAGCTAATATTTCAGCTTTTGCGTCTCTAGCTGCATGCTGGGCCCAACCCTCACTTTCCAAAGTCCCCGTGTCTGGATGCACACGAATGGCTGGGTCGGGGACCGGGTGTGTTACAGGAGTGTGACTGGCCCTGCGGCTCCTGGGATGAACCAGCTGAGACTAAACATGGTCCATAGATCCAGTCTCTCTAGCAACCAAGAGAGACTCATGTCACGGTGGGGTGGTCTCAAGGGCGGCACATAAAAAAAGGAGTCACCTGCCTAGGAGGGAAGTTTTGCCACCCAGAGACAGTGAAAGCGAATGTATTTAACAGGTAGAGGAGCTTGGATTGAGATCTAATTCCAGATCAGAGGCTGGGAACAATCAGTGATCTGCCTTATCACAGATACTGGAGCATTTTTCAGCAAGCAAAGGCACAAGGTCCAATGCCTGGGCTCTGCAAATGCAAACTGGAAATGAGTAATTAGCTGGTAATTAGACATTGGAACAGCTTCCAAAGGGATGTGGTGGGTTCGCTATCACTTGGGGTCTATAAATGGAGACTGGGCATCTCTTTCTAAGAGAGACGCTTCAGCCTACCACAGACTATTGCAGGAAGCTCTGGGTGAAACTGTCTGGCCCGTGCTCTGTGGGACGTCAGAGTGCATGGACAGGGAACTCCCTTCCGGTCCTAAAATCTAGGGACATAACTAACTCGTTACTCGGCAATAGGTCACATGCTTGTAGCTGATCTCAGTTAACATGGAAAGGTTTACTTTTTCCTCCCACCTTGGCTGCCGGTGTCAGCGAAGAGTAGATCTGTATGCAGCCTACCTCTAGGCCTGTCACTGGCACACACCTCCATGGGCTCCTGTGGGTGGGTCGGGGTTGCTTTCTCAACATGGGCTCAGTGGCACTTTTTTCTTTAGGCAGAACATTGCCATTTCAAACTCAATCATTGTAAGTAAAACATGAATCGCAGAAGGGCTGGGGCGGGGCTCTGGCGCGCACTGGCGAGGAACCCAGACGGGCAGAGAAATCCCAGCACGCAGCTCCAGCTGGAATGTCCCGGCACGTCAGGCAAAGCCAGCCCGCAGCTCCGCTCCACGGTGGTATTTGGAAGAGATGAGCTCTCCCCTCTAATCCTCCTCTCCATCCCGCACCGCAGAGTTTGCCAGGAGGATTAACCCAGTCTTGTTCTCAATCCCAGTTTATGAGTTCCCTGCTGGTGGGGAAGATCCTGTGTGTTTAAACAACAGACTAATTAATCCCCATTTTATTACTTTCTCTTGTCAAGTGGCTAAATAGAAGCTGTCAGCCGGCAGCCACCGTGCTCACATTTGTTTAGATCCCAAATTACTTCATCAGAACCATCTGCTCTGAACGCCGGGCACGCAGCGATTGTTTATTTCTCTCTCCGGACACTGCCAGGGGCACAAACCACCTCCCCTGGGCTCCCCGGGCAAGGTCTGTCGCGTCCCGGGGCTAAGGTGTTCAAAGGAGCATAGGGTCTCAAGGGACGACTGAGGCCAAAGGAACAGGCTGCGCACATTCACTGGCGCGAGAGGGCGATATCGGCCTGAATGAGCCTCCAGCACCAGGAGAGGCGCTTGGCACAGCTCAGCCCTGTCCAGGACCAGGAGGCACCGTCGGGCGGAGAGGAAGGGCAGAGCTGGCTGGGGAAGGTGGAAAGAAAAGCAGGGGCCTGGAACAGTGACCTAGCTCAGAGGAAGCGCCCCCATTAAGGGTTAGTTATGAAACCTGCAGGGAAGGTTCCTTAGCGAGGGTCGGTGATGCAGCCCCTTGGAGTCCACCAAGGCCCTTTCAGACGGGCAGATGACCTGGCCCCTGGTTTCCATATTCCCTGGCCCTTTCTTACCCCCTTGCCAGGTCTCCGAGCCGGGAACCCAAACTCACTTGCTCTGAGCAGTCGGAGTCTCTTGGGGGCGCCTGGCAGGCCCGGCCCAGCCCTGCCTCAGGGGGGCCAGGCCTGTGTTGGCTGCTTTTCTGCCCACCCTTAGCCTGAGCCCCCGGGCCTGTCTGACTGCTCTGGCCCCTCCCTGACCGCACAGGCTCTTCCAGACCAAGTGCAGCAGCTGCCTGAAGGCGATCGCCCCCTCGGAGTTCATCATGCGGGTGCTGGAGAACGTCTACCACGTCCACTGCTTCTTCTGCTGCGAGTGCGAGCGGCGGCTGCAACGGGGAGACGAGTTTGTGCTCAAGGAGGGGCAGTTGCTGTGCCGCAGCGACTATGAGAAGGAGAAGGAGATGCTGAGCGCCATCAGCCCCACGCCCACCGAGTCGGGTGAGGGGCACGGGGGGGACCTAGCTCCCTGGGGCCAAGGGGGAAGGAGGGGCAGGGGCAAGTGGATTGAGGGGGCAAGGTGGTCAGGAGAGCCACCCGCTCAGCACTGCTCTTGTAGGTGTCGCGGGGACGCTGCCTGCTCCCCAGGGGCAGGAGAGACATGGGATGCCCGGTCCGGGCTAGAGCCCTTGGGCTGATCCAAAGGTGCAGGGAGGCGGGAAGAGGGCACCAGAAGGGCCGGCTCGGGTGGGCGGATACGGGCCCGTTGGTCTGCTCGGGGACTGCTGCCAGGCTACACAGGCCTGCACCATATCTCAGGCCAGGGCCCTCGCCGAGGACGCAAGGGACCAACGCCCAAAGGGGAGGGAGTTTCCTGGCTCACAGCAGCTCAGCCTGCCGGTAACAGCTCACATTTCCCCTTCCAGTGAAAAGTGAGGATGAGGAGGGGAGCCACTCCCATGGCAGAGGCAGCGAGGAAGGCAAGGACCACAAGCGCTCCAAGCGCCCACGCACCATCCTCACCACGCAGCAGCGACGGGCTTTCAAGGCCTCTTTCGAGGTTTCCTCCAAACCCTGCAGAAAGGTAGAGTGGGGGAGGGAGACCCCAGCCAGGGCCCCCATCAGGGCCGACAGGCCTGGAACCCCCGGAGACCGATGGCTTCGTAGCCCACTCCCAGCCAGGCTGCAGAAGAAGCATTCCCAGACTCGCTCGTGAGACACTAACTCCCAAAGGGGAGACCAGGTTCCTTCTGACAGGGCGTGGGGCCCGGCAGCAGCGTGGCTCACACACCGTGGCTTCACGCTGACTCCCAAAGGGGAGACCAGGTTCCTTCTGACAGGGCGTGGGGCCCAGCAGCAGCGTGGCTCATACGCCGTGGCTCACACACTGTGACTATTTGCTGGCTCTTCCTGTGCGCCGTAGCTTTAAGCCTTAGCACCACTTGGCAGGCCGCTTGTTTTCATATCTGTGCAGACGCTCAAAGAGAAGCTGCACACCCGGGGCCAGATGTTCCACCACCCGGCATCTTGCGCTGTCATTTCTGCCATCAGAGGAGGTGCCGTCAGATCCGGGCGCTCTCCACTCCCACATTCCGCTGGGGCGAATGATGGTGCCAGGTGAATGAGGCCCAGTCTGAGCCGTGTCACAGACAGCAGCTTCTGCTGTTCTCCTCCTCCTGTGGACTGGGAGGGGCATTTATCACACTGGGCAGGTGCCTGGAAAGTCATGGTGCCTCCCTTGAGGGGATCCCAGTGTTAGCACAGGAGCAAAGTGATAAATAGGAGATGGGGACCCTGCCCTGCCCCTTGCGGGCACAGCTTCCTGCATGAAGCAAGAGATTCCTCCTTAGATGCTTTTCTGTGCCAGGCATGTTTCTAAACTCTCAAGAAGGGCTGGCTTCTCTGCCGTGCTTCCAGCCCTAGGACAGACGAAAAGACAGATGTGGGGCAGGCACGTTACGTACAAGTCAGCACGACTTCTTGTAGGCAGCAGAGTCGCTTTTCAGCAGGTGTGAATTGGATGCACAACGTTAGGGACACTCTTGTAAACCTCAGCTGGGTTGATCATTTGCCAGCGCAACAACACTCTCACCTGCCTGTTCCAACCTCTCTCCCCTCTGTGGTAGGTGCGAGAGACTCTGGCGGCTGAGACAGGCCTGACGGTCCGGGTAGTACAGGTCTGGTTCCAGAATCAAAGAGCCAAGGTGAGCGGCTGCTTCTCTTGTTGGCACCAAGCTCTCGACCCTGGTTCTCAATGGCACTGGGGCCTTTTGTACCATTCTGGCAGCGTCACAGGGCAGAAAAACCTCTGAGATTTGCCAGCTGCGGTGGAAAGACCCTGCTCCCAGGGTGTGGCCCAGAGGGGTGGAGGCAGGGCCTGGCTCTGATGTTCGGTGTTTCCCAGGGCCGGTGGGGCAACAGGAAACCCTAACAAGACCCCGCTCCGGGGCTAGGGTCTGCGGAGGGAAGGATAAGGCAGCTGCTCAGCAGGGCGCTTCCCCCGCCAGACCCTTGCTTGCTTCTCCTGACAGATGAAGAAGATCGCTCGCCGGCAGCAGCAGCAGCAGCAACAGCAGGAGCAGGAGCAACTGGGCAACCCGCGTTTGGGGGCTGGCCGCGGGACGGGCCGCAGCAGCAGACAGAGCAATGATGACAGTGAAGGTGAGGCATGGCAGAGGCTTGCGGGTGGCGGCTGGCAATCTGGGACTGGGCAGGTGGGGTGGAGCCCAGGCTGAAATAGCAGGGGCGCTGCACGGAACTGCCGTGCGGTGGTGCCGCCATGGGGAGAGGCGATGTCCAGGTTCGCTCCTGGCAGACTGTTGGAGGGAAAGCTGGCGTAATGCGTAAAGCACAGGACTGCTCTGCTCCAGTCCCTTTGAGCCCTAGGACCAGTCACTGTCTCTCCGTTATGAGAACAGCCCCTCGGGGGTCACAAAGCCTGGAAATCTCTTCGTCCTCGCATGTAAGGAAGAGGCTGTTAAGAGCGTGAAAATGATCAGCTGTGCCCTTTGCGGCTTCCGCCCATTCCAGGTCAGATGTGTCTGGCTGCGCAACAGGGCTCAGTTCTGGCGGGTTGGGGTTCTCTCCAGTTTCACTTTCGCATACCAAGCCAATGTTTCTTGCATGGCCCTATGACCTTTCGCTCCAGGATTAAGCGTCCATGCCCCCAGATGTACAGTCCTTCCCTACTCAGCCCCTGAATGAGAGTGCAAACTCCTACTGCGATCGACTCTATGGACCTGTCACGAAGCAGCAATCGCACTCTGGTGGCAGGACAAGACCTTTGATTTTGGGTGCTCCGCATGGGCTACCTAAAAAGGGCCCAATGTCTAGGGGGCAGATACTCAGCACCTTCTGGGTCCCCTTCACGTGTCTCAGGGGCACCCAAAACTCACCAGTCACTTCTGAAAATCTTTGGCTTCAGTTCCATAGTGTGAATGCATGGATTTCAGTGGAGTCACTCCCGGTTTACACCAGAAGGACTGCACACAGAATCTGACCCGAAGTAACAGTTTTTTATTGCTTGTGTGTGCAGGGCCCTATGTAAGTTGCAGGGCCCAGTACAATAGAGCCCGATCCTGTTGGGGGCCCATGGGCACCACTACAGTATAATGCATAACAGCATGTTACCTGGCTAGATTTTACTCTGTTCCCACTTTGTACCCACTGCTTCCGCCTGTTCCATTGATTCCACATTAGATGGAGCAAGTGTTCATGGACTAGATGGGCTCATGGTCCCATACCCCAGGATTCCCCAGCAGCAGCTGCTGCCGCTGGATCAGAACAGCTACAGCACAGACTTGTACAGACAAGGGCTCACGCCACCCCAGCTGCCGGGAGACCATCTGCATCCCTACGGTAAGCGAGTGGCAAGGAGGCTGGCATGACTCAGTGCCAGAGTGGTGCTCAAACCGCAGCATGGCACAGTAGGACCCTGTCCCACTGTTATTACTGCCTGGCATGTGCTCACCACAGCCAGTGCAGAAAAAGATGCCAGGCAGGACGTGGCCGCTGCACAGAGAGCACTGTATTTAAGGAGGTAAATCGTGTCTTATGCCCTTTTATTCAAAGCTACCCTGAGAAGGTGCCAGTGAAAGAGGGGGTCTTCCAGGACAAGCAGAAATAGCCCAGCAATAGGGGACAGGTCACACCCACAGCGTCTCACGAAGCCACATCTTTCTGGTCTAGGGCTCACAGACTGGACTCATTTTCTGGGCAGTGCGGGAGGAGGGGATGATACGGCCTAGGGTGAAAGTCAGGGCCAGCGTAAGGTTGGTGCATCACAAGACCCCGTTCAAGTGCCACTTCTAAGACCTATTTTGAAAGTGTGAAGAAGTTAAAAATGACTTAGACAAGTTAGTCCCCGGGGCCTGAGGAAATGCATCCTAGAAGAGCTGGTAGAGAAGATCATTGAGCCAATACTACTACCTTTGAAAAGTCATGGAAGACACGGGAGATTCCAGAAGACTGGAAAAGGGCAAATCTAGTGCCCATCTATAAAAAGAGAAGTAAGGACAACCCAGAAAACTACAGACCAGTTAGTTTAACTTCCATGCCAGGAAAGATAATAGAACAAATAGTTAAGGAATCCATTTGCAAACACCTAGAAGATAATAAGGTGATAAGTAACAGTCAGCATGGATTTGTAAAGAACAAAGCATGTGAAACCAACCTGATAGCTTTGTCTGATAGGATAACAAGCCTTGTGGATAAGGAATAAGCAGTAGATGGGGTATAGCTAGACTTTAGTAAGTCATTTGATAGTCTTTCATGTCCTTCTTGTAAATTAACTACTAGGGAAATACAGCTTAGATGGGGCTGCTATAAGGTGGATTTTCAGAGATAATTATCAACCGTTCAAAGTCATGTTGGAAAGGTATAACTAGTGGGGTTCCACAGGGGTCTGTTTTGGGACCGGTTCTGTTCAATATCTTCATCAGCTATTTAGATGATGGCATAGAAAGTACACTCATTAAGTTTGCAGATGATACCAAGCTGGGAGCGGTTGCAAGTGCTTTTGAGGATAGGGTCATAATTCAAAATGATCTGGACAAACTGGAGAAATGGTCTGAGGTAAACAGGATGAAATTCAATAAGAAGAAATGCAAAATACTCCACTTAGGGAGGAACAAGCCATTTCACACATATAAAATGGGAAGCGATTGTCTAGGAAGGAGTACTGCAAAAAAGGTTTCTAGGGGTCATAGCCGGTCACAAGTTAAATATGTGTGACACTTGCAAAAAAACAGCAAACATCACTCTGAGATGTATTAGCAGGAGAGGAGATGTAAGTAAGAGATGAAAAGTCATTTTTCCACTCTATTTTGTGCTGATTAGGCCTCAGCTGGAGTATTGTGTCCAATTCTGGGGACACCACATTTCAGGAAAGGTGGGGAGAAATTGGAGAAGGTCCAGGGAAGAGCAACAAAAATAATTAAAGGTCTAGAAAACATGACCTGTGAGGCAAGATTGAAAGAACTGGGTTTGTTTAGACTGGAGAAGACTGAGAGGGGACATGGTAACAGCTTTCAATTACCTAAAACATTGCTACAAGGAAGAGGGAGAAAAATTGTTCTCCTTGACCTCTGAGGACAGGACAAGAAGCAAGGGGCTTAAACTGCAGCAAGGGAGGTTTAGGTTGGACATTAGGAAAAACTCCCTGCCTGTCGGGGGTTAAACACTGGGATAAATTGCCCAGGGGATTGTGGAGTCTCCATTACTGGAGATATTGAAGAGCAGGTTGGACAGACACTTGTCAGGGATGATCTAGATGGTGCTTGGTCCTGCTGTGATTGCAGGAGGCTGGACTGGGTGCTGGGCCAAGGGGAAGGTTGGGGGAAGGCTAGTCCTTGTGCTGGGCCTTGCCCAGGGATGAGGGGGTGGTAGGGCTGCCAATCACACAAACCCAAACATCCTTGCCCCACGCCCTGCCCTGCCCCTTCTCCAAGGGCCCACTTGTGTCCCACCCCTTCTCCATGTCCCCTCCCTCCCTCTCTCACTCTCCTCCACCGTCACTCACTTCCTCTAGGCTAGAGTATGAGGCTGGGTGTGGGCTCTGGGAGGAGGCTCAGGGCTGGGGCAGGGGTACACCAGGGGTGTGGGCTCTGGGAGGAGGCTCAGGGCGGGGGCAGGGGCACAGCAGGGGGTGTGGGCTCTGGGAGGAGACTCAGGGCTGGGGCAGGGGTACACCAGGGGTGTGGGCTCTGGGAGGAGGCTCAGGGCTGGGGTAGGGGCACAGGAGGGGTGTGGGCTCTGGGAGGAGGCTCAGGGCTGGGGTAGGGGCACAGGAGGGGTGTGGGCTCTGGGAGGAGGCTCAGGGCTGGGGTAGGGGCACAGGAGGGGTGTGGGCTCTGGGAGGAGGCTCAGGGCTGGGGTAGGGGCACAGGAGGGGTGTGGGCTCTGGGAGGAGGCTCAGGGCGGGGGCAGGGGTACGCCAGGGGGTGTGGGCTCTGGGAATGGGTTTGGGCACAGGGGCTCAGGGTTGGGGGTTAGGTGTGTCAGAAGGTGCAAGGGGGGG